AAACGCTAGTTTTGGTGACATGACGTTCCAATAAACACACTCTTTGGACTGCAATAATGGTTGTGTGCTGGTGACATGTTGTGTGCTGGTGACATTTATTCATCTTTATGCTGTGTTTTGCGGCACCATCCGCAGGTCACTACAAGCACCCCCCTCATTCAACTTTGGGTTTTTCCGGTAAGGAGTGCGACAAGGTATCTTTTTGTTTATGAACAACTATTCCATGTTGTTCAGAGGGGAACCAGGGAATGTATTATATTATGTATATTTTATACACTATGCTTCAGCTTTAAAGTGACACTACATTTAGAGGTTAAACCTTAACAATGCATTAACAATGCATTCAAATACCTCAACTACAGTTTTAACAAAAATTTATCGTATTTGTGTATCACTCAGCTGTAGATCCTCAAATCATCTCTGAATTGGTGCTGACACTGTCATTCCTTCTGGAGGGTGGCTACTTTTGTTCCCCATGGTCCCTGCGTGTGTTGTAAAGTAGCCAAGGCTCCAAGCGCGCTCCAAGATCTCACATTTATGTTACAACTTTGTATTGAGATTGTAGTCCAACACAGGAGCGAGTTTGGATCAGTAGCTAGTTTGCAACACACAAAGAGGACCATGGAGGACAAAAGTAGCCACCCTCCAATGTCCGTACAAATTCAGAGATGATTTGAGGATCTACAGCTGAGTGATACACACATAAAATACACTTTTGTTAATAGTTAAGGTACTTGAATGTATTATTAGTTTAGTATTCTAAGTTTAGTGTCACTTTAAGTCAGTTGACAACTGAAACAGGTTCTTTGGGTTTATTGGCAGAATTTCAGCAGAGTATTGTGTACCTTACTGAGTGAGCTATGTTGAAGAGTTTGTTGTAGGAAACAATTCCACTTTTACTTTCTTAGACTTGCTGGAATTTTCATAACTCTGTTCAGCATTTATAACCCTTTTCATCAAAGTGTATTCATGCTTCAAAAAGCTTTTTGGAACGATCCATAAATGAAGGTGTGTGGCCCTTCTGCTCTTTCTCTGATGCACAGCTATATACAGAATTATTCTTTGAAATCCTTACAATATACACTATAATTGTAAGTGTTGTCATGAAAGCAGAATTCACAGGAACTTTTTTAGTAAGTTAATTTGATAGTCAGTAGCGAGTGCACATTTCATTATGCTGTAAATGTGCTTAGGTTGCAGGTCTTCCTGCACTTTCTGTTCTAACACATTTATGATTTGATGCTGTAGCAGCCCACTTAATGTAATACATTGTATTCATATTGTTAACGTTGTAAATCTCAAACATTTAAATAAGGGTTAATAATACAATTAGTATTCTGTTTTCAAAGCAGGTGCAGTCCATGTAGTACTTTTAAATCTTCTTGTGTAAAGAATAGAAGCTATGACATTATCTCCTTCCAAACCTTTAGTAATGGCTGCAATTAGTTCAGTGTGCAGCAGATAGAAAAGAAAATGCTTTACTATATATTCTGTTGTTCCCTAGATATTTACAGACAAGGATTCAATAAAAGAACACAAATAAGAGTATTTGCCCTTGTAACAATTTAGGAATAATCTATAATAATTATTAAGAAATCCTAGAGGAAAAGTGAGCTACTATATTTTCTACATCCAAACGTACTTGCTAATGTATTTCGAAATGCACTACGCTTAGTAGGACACTGGAAAATCCATTGTGTGATTAATTTCTTTCATTGGCAACCGTTAGTGACCACAATAACTTTTGTTTTATAATCAGTCCTACAGGACAGGCCTAAAGAGGATGTCATGAAAAATAGTAGTCTAGTGGCCACAGATCTGCCTGACTTCTGTTGTGTGTAATCATTTGAAAGTGTATTGTAGTAAGAGAAATACATGTATAACAGAGAGCAATCTTATACATGAAAATCATCAAAGGTTTATGGCCAGTAGGTTTGCATGAAAAAGTAAGTTTCAATCTAGATGTTGGAAACAGAATCAAAGATAATTTTTTTCCTGGGGTGGGTTGGGTTCACCTTTCTCAAAATATAAGGTTTGGAAGCACCTTTACCACCCAGAGGAGAAGATTGAGGCAAATTGTTGATGTGGCAAAAATGCGTTAACAGTTGTAGGAGCTACAAGTGTACATACAGAGTGCAGGGGTCAGAAGTGTGTAATGTATCAAGTGCAGGGGTCAGGAGTATGTATTGTACCAAGTGCAGGGGTCAGGACTGGATAACACACAGAGTGCAGGGGTCAGAAGTATGTAATGTACCGAGTGCAGGGGTCAGGTGTATATAATGGACATAGCACAGAGGTCAGAAATATGTCATGTATGCAGTGCAGGGGTCAGACGTATATACAACCAAGCACATAGCACCCCCCTATCATTCATTTCACCACCACCCCATTATGCATAGCACAGCAGTACCACCGATGTATACACACACACACACACACACTCTGTACAGCCACACATACACTGTATACACTGTATACACAAACATACACACACTGTATAGACATACAAACTCAACATTGCTTATCCCACTGGGTGGCAGCGCTGAAGAAGAGTGCTATTATGGGCTATGCCATGTTTAAGGACTCCCTTCCTATGCCTGTATAGAAAAACTGTGGCTGCCCAGAAGCAACATGTTTGGAAGCCACAGAAAACAAGCAGCAGAGAAACATGAGGAACAGCGACGCTGGGCCCCGGAGCATGAGGCATAAGATGCAGGTCATGTGCCTGGATTTCCCATCTCATTATGCAAGCCACAGATGCTTTGGGGGGAAGTTTGAAGTTTGGATTGCTTTATCCCTTCCCCATATCACAGGTTGGAAATGTTATTTATGTAATATATTTGGATTTTGCTATAATCTTTAGCACTATTTTTCACAATGACCTGGTACAGAAGTTGAGGATGCCATCATTAGGGCAGAATATTTGTACAAGCAGAAATAACTGGTTAAAAGACAGAAGACAAAGGGTAATTGTTCATGGGACATGTTCATAATCAGCTAAACGGTGGTGTACCAAAGACATTCATTATTTTTCAATCTATTTCATAATGATCTAGGTGATGAAATAGATAGCCATATTGACATTTTCTGCTGATGACATACAGTGTTGTTGAATTTGAGTGATAATGAAGTTATCAGGATAGTGATTATATGGTACAGAAGGATCTGGACAAAATAGCAAGGCAAATTGAATTTATTGTTGAAAAATGTATGCACCTAGGCCAGGAAAATAGCAATAGCCCCCTATATATTAAATCTCAATAACTAAAGTTTTTTTTGTCCCTTGAGATATTTTGGGTGGAACCTCTGTCAGCTTTTTATAGTTGTTTGTCTGTCGCACTTCTTGTCCTGGTGACCACAAAGGAAGTAAAAAAGTCTCTTCAGCACATATATCAGTAGAAACATGGCAGAGATTCTTCCCTGTTCTCCTAACAAGGGGCTTGTATTGGCTTGTATGTCTCCATTAGATAAATATCTCTACCTTTATTTTCTGACCTAAGAGAAAATCACAGAAAATCTTTTCAATGGGAAGACACAGATAACAATAAATACCCCAAAGAGTTCTAAACACACCCCACTCTATTTAAAGATAACAAAAATGTTTTGGCTAGAGTAGGGCAGTACAAAGATGGAGAAGGGCTCGGGAGTATTGATTAACAAGAAGCCAAGCAGCATAGCTCAATGCCAGTTTATAAAAGCAAATAAAAAAAATCATAGGGTGTATAAAACCGGCAATAAGAACATGTGATGCGATTTATTTTTTATTTTATTAAAGCAGACCTTTACCCATATCTTTAAAATAACAACAAACACACCTTTAGAAATGTTTAGTAATGACAATCTACAAACACATATAGATAATTGCCGGCTTTGTATTCTTTGCATACCTTATTTCCATTTTCTTCCCCAGTCTTCTGACAGTGGCCATGTTTAGGGCAGATTACTAGTTTTCCTATTACTTCCTGGATTTCTGGCACATGTGACTAGACATGTGACTAGGACATGTGACTATGCACATCATCTCAGGGGAGGAAAATGCTTTCCCCTGAGATCTCATGAAATTACAGATGAGATTTCCTAGCAATACTCTGCTGATGACAAGGCAATCCCAGTGTGCATTGCTTTGGCAAACTGAAGTAATTTTCACTTTCAAAGCAGGAAGTGAATGCTCTGCAAGTGTAAGTATTTCTAAATCCCAGTATTTTACACATGACATGTCTATGTTATTATTATTCATCATACATCAGGGGTGCATTGGTAGAATGTGATTTTGAGTGTAAGGGTCCACTTTAATATGTTGATGAGGGGGTAAAAATTAGTAAAGGTAAAGGATGAGGGTGTAAACCAGGAAAAGGAAAATATACAGATTAAATGTCAGCCTCAACAGTTACATAGAAGGGGGGTTTGCCTTCCACAGCAGGAGTTCTTAACTTGATGGATATATTTTTTCTTGCCTGCCTGTTTTCTGTAAGTGCCTGCTTGCTAGACCGATAGATGCTTACAGCTAGATCCAGACAATGACCAACGTCTCCTACTCCCCAGATCATGTAATGTGCTTCACTAATTTTACAAATGCACTGATTGTTATTCTTTGACCTTCACTGGCCAGTGTTTCAGGCAATTGATGATTAAAACCTAAGCCACGATAGCTGCTTATAAAATTTTTGTTCTTGCTATTGTACTTCTATCTACTATACATCTTGCCACCCCTGGCCACCTAACAGGTATTTTTTACATTCCATGTTTCCAAAATTTGAACATTGTATTGAAACATCAAGCTTGTAGATAATTTATTTTAGGTCAGTTTTCACATCTTCCTATGATCTGCAGTAAATCCCACTAAATTTATTGATTTGTAATCGAATATAGACATCCTCATTATCCCACTATTTGAACATAAAAGAAATAATACCTGTAATGCCCGATGTGATAAATAAGTGAGCTCATTGTGCTTCTCTTATTTTGTGATATACTGAACTCTATAAATATTTTCTTTCCAGTCCAAATCATATGTGTGCAATAGTCAAGGAGAAGTTGTTTGTTTCACTGTCGACTTTATAACAGGATTTACCTGCTTTGACAGCAAATCAAAGGTAAGAACAAAATTGTTATTTGTGCAAATTTAAATGTGACATCAAATCAAGGCCAGACAAATAAGCCGAGACTGTAGATACATTGCTTTCTTTGTTTTTATGTCTAACCCCCCTACCCTTTTACATGACTAGTTCTTATTTCTGCAGATAAAATTACAATGCAAAGATATGGAACTGGTACATCTTAAAGAAAAACTTTGCCCACAATTAAAAAATTTGCAAACAGGAAGGATTGTTATTGCAGAAAATAAAGGCTATTTACCTTCTAGTGCTCAAGATGCTTTACAATGTACACTATGCAGCTCAGATTATATTCTTGCCATGTCTCGATGCAGGAATAAATGAACTCCCATACACATAAGTGGGAGTTATGTCATCTTCAGCTAGCCAATCAAGATGGCTGGAGATATGAAATCTGGAAGAAGACACAAAGAACAGGCTGGTGCCGGCGTTGGAGCTCATGGACATGGCATCGCTGGAGTGTAAGTGAGTATTGAAGGGCTTAGTTCCACTTTAAACCAATCTGAATAAAATTTGAAAGATATAGGACTTTAAAAAGGTACCAAAGAAATTCTAAGATTCCAACAAATTTCAAACACATTTATATGTAGAAATGTAAATGCTCAGAACACGACATGGCACCAAAAAAATGGACATGCAGCATTTTTCTAATGCAGCACACCACAACATAATACGTTATGGTGTGCTGTAGTGTAAAACGTGTGAAGGAACTGCATTGCCTTTGTGCATTACGGTGCCATTTGTATAAAAGTGTTAACGCATGTAAAGCACATTAATGCATGTTGCAATAATAGACATTGATTTATGTTCCACCGATACCCATGTTGACATGTGTGTCACTGCAATTCTACAGGTTAGTGTGTATTACATGTGTTAGCATGTTGCAGTATCATTCATCTGAATGGCACCCCATAAGTTTTTGCAAATGGATTTAGATTTACTTTAACAAGTTTGCAGGTTTGTAACATTTATACAGGAGCTCTTCCAGCACTTCTGTATATGTCTAAACTCTTGCAACATAGACTGGAACTCATTTTGTCCCAGTCATTTTGTAGCAAATTCCCAGCAATTGCAGGTGCTCATCACAATAAGGTACCTATACGGTACAAGCCTAGTTTGCCTTATAATAAATCTGGCTCTGCTGACCATACATATCATGTGAAAACTAGACAATTGCTCTAGGAACTCTGGTATGAAATTATGTTAAATGGGATATTTTCTGGTGATTCATTTTTTTTATCACAAGGTAAGACCTTCTTAAAAGGAACAGAGAACATGTAAACAAGTATAGGTAACTTGACCACATCCCGAACAGCAGTGTGAAGCCTGCCGGAGGTTCGGCTCAGCCGATCCAGATGTTGGATCGGCTGAGTCGAACTCCTTCTGCACTTCGGGTCAGCCGAACATGCTGAGCATGTTCGGCTGATCCGAAGCCACACGAAGCAAGCCGATGTACGGCTGATTTCAGCCGATATACGGATGAAATCAGCTGTACCAGCCTGAAGTGAATAGCCGAACAGTGTTCGGCTCACTTCACTTCTGATCGGTCATTCACTCGGCTGCCCTCGGCAGCTTTGTGAATAGACCCCTATGATTTAGTTAGGAGGAAAATGGCCCAGTGGTCTCAGACGTTTCACTAAAACTGTAACATAGTCTTAGAAAAAAAGCTTATGACTAAGATCATGAGTAAGAAGAAAATATTGAACGTGAACTGCAAGCCTAAAGAAAACAGCCTGGGGCATTTGAAAGGTTTAGCAGAATCATGTCACCATTAAAGCAAAGATAAACGGGTGTAATGCTGTGTAGATGATGATATTCACATGCAGATGTTTTATATGTGTAGGATTTACAAAAAAAATCACTTTTAAATGTTACATTTCATGTTGTGCTCAGTAATGTTGCTAAAAGCCAGACTACAAAGAGAAAAAAATGTGTATTACCAATAATGTATGCTAATATTTCTACAAATATGTATAGAAAGTTTTGCTGCCGGCACAGAAAATTAGGTATCTGCCATTTAGATAACTTTGCTGTTCAGCCTGTTGAATGATGTCAGCTGTTATTTCGGTGTGGGCAGCACTGCTATTTCCAGACGTAAGTCCAATACATGTAGCTTTCCAGTTAATGAAAAGGCAGGTCCAATCCAACAGTCAAATCATCTCCATCTACATTCTATTTAGACTTCTCTCTCTCATGTTTCTATAAGTCTGCAGTTAGAAACTCAGGTGTAGGGCTCCCATCCAAGCAAATTGGGTTCAATCCTTATCTTGCTTGACCCCAACATTATCACTTCTTAGGCCTATCTGCTGTTTAGCTCAACTGGGTCCTCCAATACAGAAGACTTCTACACAGAGTACACATACCTGTGTCAGTATCTTCTGAAGGCATGTTTCCACATACAGCCATGTGTCAGCAGGCTTTGGCATACACCTGTCCGAGTAAGACCCTTTAAAAGGATATCTGTTGCATGGCATAGTGTTTGTTCATTGGCATGACTCTATTATTTCTTCGATTGACATCAGTTGCTGACTTTGTGTCTCTACACCTGCCTGCCCTGAATATTTAGATTTTGATGCTCGGCTCTGGTTTTACCCCCAACAATGGCATGGTGACACTCCTGAACTATGCATTTTCTGAGGCCCTTGACATTGACCTGGTTGAATCTAAACCTATTTATAAGCTAACAGCCAACAACATTTACCTAGCATTTATAAATTAACAGAGCCATTGGCCCTGTGAACCTCTGTGAATGTTCGTTGTGTGAGAACGGATGCATAAAACACACTTTCTTGTTATATTTTCTTTATAAGTCAAATTAAGTAATAGCACTGTAATAGTAATAGCACTGTATGACCATTAGATGGAACTGAAGGGCATAGGAAATAAGTATTTACTTTTTTCTATGCTCCTCAGCTCCATTTAGTGGCCATAGTGCAGTATTTCAAGATAACATTCAAAAATACATTCATCTTATAAAGAAAATATACAAACATATTAATTGTGTGCATCCATTTGCACAGAATGAACATTCACAGAGATTTGCAGGGCCAATGGCTCTGCAAATTGTTTATAAATAGACTTATTTGGCTCTCTAGCTGTCTGCTGCCACCAGCAGGCCATCCCAGGGCTGCACTCTGGAACCCTCTGCCATACAAATTTATTCCCCACCATCAGAAGCTCCAGTTAACACTCCCAGATTTAAAACATTGGCAGTCTCAACCCTTCTCATGGATTGCAGTATCCTCCACCATCCTTTCTTTTCTTATTAGATTCGACCCAAGATCTTTATACTCATCTAAGTATCTTTCCCTTTCAGCCTACTTTAGCTTACAGAACAGCCACCAATGTCTGATTCCAACTTTGTGTCAAGACAATATAATGACACATATTAAGCAATTCTACTAGCTGAATTTAAACATTGATAGCATTGCATTTGAAGGAATATATAAGAGCATTGATTTGTTTTATTTCATTTGCAATGTTCTCTAAGGATGAAACATTTTAAGGGGGAGATAATTTTTATATAATAAAGGAAGGAAGACAATAACTAGATGATGAATAGATATGCATTTTAATTGTTCAGGAAACGTATACTTTTCTTTCTAATAAATTGGCTTGGCTGGATTAAAATCAAGGTCTGCATACTATACTTTGCTTCAAATCTGTGACACCTTCTGCAGTAATTAGTGAAACCATATCATATTTTTAGCAATCCACAAAGACTGAATCATAAGTCTCCTATACTTTGATTTCTGCAAACAGAAATAAGGAACATAATATTGGTTCCGAATGAAAACGTATTTGATAAATTGGGTCCTACTTGTAATGGTCTCCTTAGAGTTTTCAGCACATTAGATTGCATAAAATGATATCAAGGCATTAGCTTTCCAAAATACTGAAAAGAAAATGCTTAAATTATATAAATACATATTAAAATAAATACAATTTCGCTTACATTAACATTAATGTTATGTATATGTTTCCAGGGAAATCAAACTTTAGGAGAAACATTCTCTGCTTTCTATTAATATCATAATATTATAATATGGATGTATTGAAATCTCTGTCTCTAAGAGTCAGGACTGCAGGGCCACTGGGACTGTGCATAACAAATCTGTGCATGATGTTGCTGAATGCCTGCAACACATTCCAGCGTATAATAAAAAAATCCAGACTGACACCTTGCCTGCTACATCAGGTTTTTAGAGACTTCATTGGTGTCCTCCTTTTGCAGTTTGTGCACAGATGAGTGGAATACTGTACTGTGCAGTTATAAATCACTCACTCTGGGTCTGTATATCTGGAAGCAAACTGCCAACAGAATAGGGTGAAAGTCTACTCTTCTGAAGGGAACACTGCTTTGTGGCCTCACTGCTCCCAACCATAAGGTGCCCTTGGTGCCTGTTATATCTGATCTTGTTACTGTCATTATAAGACTAGACATTCAACTGGAGTAGGCTAGGTTGGGGGGCATAAGGCAGTTGGCTTAGGGCAGGAAGTGTAAATATGGCCTTACTCATAACAAGTAATTGGAACACATCTTATTTTGGACTGACTTCAGCAAGATGAAGTCTAAGATACAAAAGGTACAATAAAAGAAAAGGGAAAGCCAGCAGAGTGTGGTGAAATTATTTAAGCATCACAGGGAAAACAGATTGGTGGAAAACATGTTCAGAACATTTGACTTCTACCCGAAAATGAGACACATAGGGGTTAATTTATTGGGGTCTATTCACAAAGCTGCCGAAGGATCTGGCCGTAGCTTCGGCCGATCCTTCGGCTAGCTTCGGCTAAAAAAAAAAAGAAATGCTCCCATTGAAAAGCATTGGTACATTACTATTGGCTATTTCAATTTGCAATAGTTTCAATTTATTTATTCTGACACAGAGCTGTTTCAGAATGTGGGAGGCTCCCAGAGCGCCCGGGAGAGTTTTTTTTTTCGTTTTTTTTCTATGGCAGCAGAGCCGCCGGAAAATAGGCAACTAAGCCGAAATCAGCCGTACCAGCCTGAAGTGAATAGCTGAACAGTGTTCGGCTCACTTCACTTCATGTCAGTCATTCACTCGGCTGCTTAGTGAATAGACCCCATTATAGCCAATTGGATGTTCACTATAAAAGGGCATTTTTACTTTGCAGGGGTAGTTTCCCCTTAGTTTAGTGAATGAGGTTAGACTCTGCTGCATTTCATCATCCAATCATGTACAGGCAAAAATACTGTTGTTTTTTTTTTTTTTTTCCTTGCACATGATTGGGTACTCTTTGCAAAGTGAAATTTCACCACATTTACCAAGCTAAAGGACACTTCCCCCGGAAAGTGCAAATTCCCTTGCAAATTGAACTGCCTATTTGTCTTTAGTAAAATAACCCAATAGTGACAAGAAGGGCAATGTACAAAAGACAGTGGAAAAAGACAAGGAATATAACAATATTATATTGGTGAAAGCTGTTTTTCTTTACAACATTTATCCACATCGAGCCTCTCCCAATTCAGCCATTTTCATCTAGGTTAGGCAACCAACTCACATGGTGGTGGAAAATACCTTCAGGCTGACCTTATTTGGGGTGAAGATCATCTGGGCAAGCTGTAAAGGCTTTCCCAATGCCAAATATTCCCTCACAGCTGAAAAAAGAATCTACACTGAATGGCAAATAGTTTGCAAGCCAATCTTAACCGTTATGTTTTTAAATAAACTAAAGTCTCAGTTTTTATCTTAAAACCTGTAAAAACTACAGGGATTAACAAAGCTCAGATTATCAGGTGCTATGTTTGTTTGTGGATTGTACATTTCTTATTTTTTTCTTTAATAAATGTAATTCATATTTATTTTAATATAGAGTCTCTGTATTATTGTTAAAACTTCAGTAGGTTTCTAACAGCTTAGAAACACCTGCTGTGTGTTTACATTGGAGGACTAGCAGGCGGCCAAGAATACAGTACCTGTGTTGTGAACTTTGAAAATTAATTTCTTCACAAAGTTTATAGATACAGAGGCGGGGGGGGGTTTTAAAGTGCCTTTAATGTTTGTTCAGAATATGTAAAAAACTATTTTCACACTTGGGCATTTTGACGCTCAAAACCAAGTGCAATAAAACTCTCAACACTAGAAATCCCATTCATTTCTATGGCCCCTCTTTACAGCTGAGAGTTTTGTCGCAAGTTGTAAATCGCTGAACATTGTAAAAGGATTACATCACGTTTGGCCGCATAGATTTCAACGGAAGTGCATTAAAATGCGTGACACAAGCTTTTTGCACATTTCTGTGTGCTTTTGCATGCACGTTTCCTCATTCACAGCAATGTTTTTTCATCTGCTCAGTAAAACGTGCGTCTTTGTCAATTTGCATCTAACACGCATAAAAATGAACAAAACACGCAAAACATGAAACCATGCGAGGGAAAGACGTGCGTTAAAACGTGCATTTTACGCACGGAAACGTTGGCGCCCAGGTGTGAATGGAGTAAGTGTGCATGATCTGGGCACAGATTCAATGTAGGAGTAAATAGCAGAAAACCATCAGATAACTCCCATAACTTTCACCCTCAAACTGCTTCCATGCATGATATAGTATTAATTTGGAAAATGACAAGAGAATATTAACTGGCAAATTAATATTTACTGAATAAAGGGAAACAATATTCACATCAATCATCCAATCATCATTTTGCAAACAAACATTTTTTTTTTTTTTACATTTCCACTACTACATATAGTTGGTTATTCAAATTGAATTCAAAAGGGTATTCATAGCTTTATCTTTTTTTTACTTTGCAAAGTGAACATTCTCTACACCTTTAGTATGTTATCCCAGATGTGATGCTGAGGTTCTGTGTTTTCATCTGCTTCTCCTGTCACTGGGACACAGAGTCAGCCTATGATTTTGCACTGGCACTATCAGGTTAACACTGTTTCAGTATTCTGGTGGTTAAAGCTGCACTCATGGGTGGGAGCTCTTAAGCCCAGTTGAAATGACCTGCAACCATTCAGACCCCAAATTAAAGCCACAATTTTATAAAACATTGTGAGTTTTACGTTCAGTACGTTTAGTGGCCATATGCGTGTAGGTAGCCAGTATGCTATTATTTCAACTAAGCTGACCAAAGTGTATACTATCAGAGCTGATGTTATATTAATAGTGCTGTCAATTACAGGGTTGAAAGCACTGACAGTGTTGTGTTAGAAGATACAGTAAATGCCAATTTGACCAGACATAAAAGCTCTATGTTTGAAACTATGTTCCTTCATTTTTTTTTTTTACAGAGTATAATTTGGCGGTTTAAGTTTTCCCAGTTGAAAGGCTCTTCGGACGATGGAAAAACTCGCGTAAAGCTGCTTTTTCACAATTCTGACACAAAACAAATTGAGATGAAGGTAAACAATCTGGTCAGGAAGTCAGCTATAATCATTGTTATGTATGTGGCAGGCCAAGTAATGTGCAACAGATGCTGCAAATGTTACAAAAATTATCATTAAAATTAGGGCACAATGAAACTGAACACAGGATGAGCTCCTGCATTGGACAAACAGCGGATAGTGCATAAATATTTAACTTTAATTTAATCATGCATTTCCCATTTGCACTTCAAGCTAAGCGTTTAGCAAAATGTAGTTTCTGGCTTATTATGTCAAGGACACCTAGTACCAAATAGCAAAGTGGTTTTGTTTATTTCAAATGTATTCTTATTTAGGGCAATACCATCAGGCTGGCAAGAACCAAGAGTCTAATAGAGGAATTTGCATTTTTATATAACAAAATAAAGGTCTTATTAATTTTATTTTATTTAAAGATGGCAATGTCATGCCTCAAGAGGAATAATATGCACACAGTTGCCATCAATTGAATAAAAAGCAACATTAACAAGATCGATGGTCGGTGCGTGAAAAACTAAAACACCATATGAAGAATACATAACTATGCAGAACCTGGCCAATGGG